GGTACCAGAGAAAAACCAAAAAAAAAAAAAAAAAAAGAAAGTATGTAACAATAAAGCTAAAGTTTCAAGAATTCTCATGAACTGATTGTTTTCTTCTAAGAAAGAATGTTATTATCATTAAGTAAATACTGAGAAAATAATATATATTGTGATACACATCAGATATCTGCCTTCTATCAGTCAACATGACGCAAATTTCAATTTTTACAAAAATAAACAAGAAATTGAGATTTACGTAAGTTATAAATAATGGAATAATCTCAATTTATTATAACACAAATTTCATTTATTTACAAAAATAAACAAAAAAAGAAATATGAGCTTCATGTAAGTCTTTTATCCGGGAATAATCTCAATTTGTTTCTAGGAAGAAAACCCTACAAAATCAAACCAAAAGCTTAGGATTCTAGGGTCTGGCTGTGTAGCTCAGTGGGACAGCACTTGCCTGACATGCTTGAGGCCCTGGGTATGATCCCTGGCAGCTCAAAAAAAAAAAGCTTAGGATTCTGTAAAAATTTATTTGACAAAGGCAACATTGCATTTGAACATTCTTAGGCTAAAGTCATTGTTTAGTTTATGACTTTTTAATGAATGACAGTATATTAAACAAGTGGCTAGTGCTTCTAACTTTTCCTGATATTCAGCAGTGTCAAGTGCTCTACATATATTCAGGGAAGTGTTCTTAAAATTGCCCTGTTTGGGTTCATAAAAATATACCCACTAAGTGGACAGAGCTAACTCAAGTTGCCCTGTTAGGTTGCCTACCACCAGCAGACAGTATCTACACACAAAACTTACCTCCAGACTTGTTTGAGAAAGTGGACAAGGGGTCAATGCCTACTTCTTGCTCTTCTGCCTGCAGAGGATGTCTAGTTTCAGATAAGGAATGATACATGGTGGGAAATGGACAGTGTCACCAAAAGTAACTACCTAGGAGACAAAAACAAATATAGAGAAAAATAGTAACTACAGTATCTTTTTCTTCTTGCAATGACTAGGAATACAAGACTGAAATGAATAAATGTGCATTACAGACATTAACAAGTTTTTCACAGGCTCGAGGGACTGTTACTACACCTTAGCAGGATTACGCAAAAGAGCAAAAAAGGTGGCAAAATATTTCCATATCAACAATTTCTCCCATAATCTGAACTTAATTTGTAACTTTAACTTCAACAATGAATCACATCTAGCTTGAGTAAAATCTACAAAAAGCTGAACTACAATTTAAAAAATTACCCTAATATATAGCATTTTTGTTTTACTAATACATTTACAGTATAAACCTCTAAAATACAGAAATCCGTATTTAAATTTTCATGAATATTTTCTGACCCAGTATAAGAAAAATGTGTCTAACAATATTATCATTTCTAATGGATCCCTAACATTCCATCACAATGTATGCACCCAATTCTTTATCTGTAAATAATTAGAAGGATCTCAGTTATTCAACACCATAAAATCTCACAGTAAGTATCTCTATGTCATATCTAAGCTATTTCCTAACATAAATTCCTATAAGTGTGGTTACAGTTGCTGGACTAAAATGTCTATCTAAAAAATAAGATTTTGCAATGTTTTGGCAAAATTACACTCCAGAAAAATTTGTATACAATAAAACAATTTATTTTCAGTATCCTTATTATAAATTGATATTTCTTCTTTATAAACCAATGTGATAGTGAAATTGTATATTGTTTGCTTGATACTTGCTAAGATCACTAAAGACTTCCTATGTTTCTCTGGCAACTGTTTATTGTCTTTTCTGAATGGAGTTCATTGTTATTACTTATAAGCCTTTGTCATACAATAAATGAATGTGGAAAAGGACATTCTTTGATTAGAATGCATTGAGGACACAATGATGTATTTATTATTTGTTAGAGTTTCTTAAGATGAGGCTTCATTATACAGCCCAGATTAGCCTTGAGTTTATGATCCTCCTGTCTCAGCCTCTTGAGGGCTGGGATTACAGGCATGTGTTGGTTTACATGTGGAGAAGGATAATCCTTTAATTATCCTTGCTAAAACATTTGGTATCTGCTCATTTGTACTAGCTATGCCCTTTGTTCTCGGTCAATAAAAGGTGACTGAGATTGATAATTGGGGCTGCAGTCCAAGAGGCTATAAGCCCCCTGATCCCACACTTTTGCCTCTCTTGTTTTTCTTTTCTCTCTTACTTTTTCTTTTCATCCACGGGCACCTTGTTCTTGGGACCTGACACTCAGAACAGAACAACACATATATCTTTCCCAAGTCTATCTTTTAAGTTGTATGACATTTTTGTGACATAAGTAACTTTTCATTTTCATGCACCAAAATATACCGTGTCTCCATTATGTTTTTTTTCCTCTGGTGTTATCTTTGCAAAGATGACCACATATATTTTAATATTTGAAGCTTTCTCCCTTAATTTTTACACTAAATATTATTATTTTCAATTATTCTAAATAAAGATTTTTTTAAAAGACTAATTTGTTTTTTTTAATTTCCAAGGTATACTGCTACAAATTTTATGTTAAATGCCTCCAAAAAGATTGTGTGTTGAAGGCTTGTTTTTCAGCTGACGGCACTTTTGGGAATGGTTGAAAACTTCAGAAGATGGGGCATAGCTGGGGAAACTTAAGTCACTAGGCATGTGACCCTGAAGAGTGCAGAAAACCCATCCCTTTCTCTTTCTCTCTGGTTCCTGGCCACCATAAAGTGACAAACATATGCTTCCTGCCATCATTTCCTGCCGCATCAGAGCCTCGAAAGCAGCAGAGGCAACTGACCAAGGACCAAACCAACCATGGACCACAACCTCTGAAACCATGAGCCAAAATAAACCTTTTGTCCTTTAAATTGATTTTTGTAGGCATTTTTTCACAGTGATGGAAAGCTAATACACATATTAAGCCAGGTTCATTACATAACATTCCAAAGAATGTAATACAATCTTCAAAATTTCAAAGTCTGATTAAACACGTGAGGAATACGAAACTACAAAAAAACAGGTGGTAAAAGCAAGTTCAAAGAAAATGAGCTCCTAATTTTACAGGATATAGTCTTTATTTATGGAAAAAAGTTTTCAGAGATGCTCATTAAACACAAATCCACGATGATCTTTCCCCAGAACCAAATGCTCCTCTATCCCACTTTCTTCTAAAATGCTCACCTTATAAAACACTAATAAATATTTTCTGATTTTTTTCAAAACCTTTCAATCCCCTCATCCACCCACAATCACAGGCAGATACGGACAAGTCCTACCCCCCCCCCCTAAAAGAACAGAAGGCAAGGGAAAAGAGAAAAGTTTTGCCTGTGACCACTAAACAAGAATTTTTAACCCTAGAAAATTCTAAATCCATAAATCTAAAATAATTGTCATCATTCACTTATGTGATCAAATCTAAGCATGTACAGAAACAACTATAAAGAATATACTCTAGAAGAGGGTAGAAAAATGTACATGATCAGTTATAACCTAATACAGAAGCTATTAAATTGTATTATACAAATTAATGAAAGAAAGTCTAATAAGTACAGTAAGGATCTACAAATTCAAATATCTAATGAAGCCAACAGAAAGCATTATTAATTGTAGTTAACATTTATAAACAATGACTATATACCAAGAAACTCTCTGAATGCTTCATGGACACTCATCATTTCATCCTTCCTACAACCTGATGATGTATCTTCATCATCCCTATTTTCATTTTATGAAGATAAACCAAAGCCATTTATTTTCTAGAGTCTACAGTTACATAGTTAGTAAATATTAAAACCAAAATTTAAGTATATTGTGTCTTCTAAGAGCTCACATTCCTTCTCCTACACTGCACAGGGCTCTTAAAAAAGTCAATGAGACAAACAAACCAAGTACAAAACAGGGAGTATAAGAAGATGGGGTCCGTGAAGAAATGAAACACCCTTTATTCTTCTTTAACCCCCCCCTTTTTTTTTGGTGGTACTGGGAATAGAACTCAGAACCTCACACTTGCTAGGTTGGCGCCTGTGCCACTGAGCTATATCCCCAGGCCCCTTCTTTAACTTTTTCAAGATAAATTAGTAGTCTAGAATTTTGTGTGGAATCTCCTTAATTTATTTTGGCAAATAATGCAAATTAGCAAATAGTGTATGGAACAGATTTAACCATATTTCAAAACTGTAATTGATCCACAAGCAACTATTTTAAGTAACATTCCTATTCTCCATACATTTTGCTATATGCTTAAAACATTTTAAAATTTTGAAAATATCTATTTCATATTAACTGCTAAATTGCTATAATCTTATAACATTAATTACTTATTTTTATATCCTACTTCCACTTTTATAGGTTTCATATACTTAAAATATGCAAATAAAGATTTTAGAATGTTAAGCTTTATAAAAAATAGACAATTAGTAACAAAACTGATATCAAAGTCTATTTTAAAAAGGACTCTTGGGGCTGGGGATTTAGCTCAGTGGCACAGCGCCTGCCTGGCAAGTGCAAAGTCGTGAGTTCGATTCCTGGTACCAGAAAAAAAAAAGGACTGTACTCCAGGTATGGTGGTGCATGCCTACAATCCCAGCTACTTGGGAGGCTGAAAAGCAAGAGGATCTATCACTTGAACCCAGGAATTCAAGATCAGTCTAGGTAATATATTGAGAATCTATCTCAACAAAACAAAATAAGAACAATTTTAAAAAGTTCATATAATTAAAATAAGATGGTCTACAACATGATGATGCTCATATATTCACTCAAGATGCCAAAACATACTTAGGATCTTTTTGTTTACTTATAAAAGCTTATATGCAAAAAGTGATTCAGCGAAATTATGTTCAATTCCTAGGAACTTGGCAAGATTATCCAATAATAAGAACACAAAATAAACACCACCAAAAGGGTTACAAAAAGTTTTATAGATTTTAAGGTGGGAAAAAGGATGAGCTAAACAAAGACAGTTACTGAAATATGACAGGTTTACAACTTTGGCCATCTGGTCGGCCTGTCAGCTTGAGAGTCCAACCCCTGCGGTAAAAGGGGCTGGGGAGAAAGGGCAGCACAGGTTAAAATGAAGTCTGCAGGGGAGAAGGAAGGAGGCTTGAGATAACCCCCACAGTGGTGAACTGGCTTTATGACCACATCAAAGTGTAGCCCACTTGGGAGGAGGGAGGGAGGAATGTGTTCAGCTGAGGGCAGAAATTGCTGTGACCCCACAAGGCACAGCACTGGGGAACTGAGTCCTCAAGTGCACGCCTTTTCTGCCTTAGTCTTACCATAGGATTTTGCTACGGTAGCTCACAGGATTTGATGAATTAGGTTGAAATTCACACTTTTGAAAAGCTGATCTTAAGAGCTGTACTAGTTTCACAAGTTTGTTTCTCACAACATTTAATCTTAAGATGGATATGATTTCTCTGGGAAAAGGAAAGTTCTGTGAAAATGATTAATACAACGGTAATAATTTAGCACCCAAGTTTAGAAAACAGCTTTAAAGTACACTGAAACATTCAAAAACAATATTATTGTGTGAATAAGCAGTCTCTAAGCAAACTTAAAATTATTAGTACTGATAAAATTGATTAGTTAAGTAATATTTTCTTTTAAAATGGCATCATACAAACAGAACCCACAGAAAAAAATAATTTTATACATTCTGAATATATTATTCTTTGCATTTCAGCTTCACTGTTCCTAACAGGTATAGAATTAGAATTGAAAAGTACATTGTTTATAGGATACCTGTATCAAGAAAAATTCATAAGCATATTTTTTCATTTAAATTCTTGACTAATGGTAAATTAAAAAATTCAAACACTAAAATGACAAAATAGTATTACTTTGCATAAGATTCCTCCTATGATAAAAAAGAGGGTTACAACATGTCACAGGTATCATATATTTAACCTGACATATGACATCAACCTATAACCATTCTGTATAATCAGGC